AAAAACAAACAAAGCAACACGTTTGAATCTTTGACCCTGTTTTATTACATTACTGTAATGCTGCTTTCAATAACAAACCACTTATTTCACTAACTTTAATTATATGTTTTTAATAATTGCATGGTGTGAGAGTAAATTCATTTACGTGTTGCTGTAATAGTTATTTCTTAAAGCAGTAATATAGTAGTAGTTGATAATCCAATCATTTCTTTGTCCCTTCAATTAAAGTTATGTTTCTTAAAATGATTGAAACAGCGCCCCCCTGGGTTGTAAGGGCCACAAGTGTCAGTCTGCGTGGTCAAACGTGGTATTGCAGCCAAACAGAAGCCCGCCAGGTGAAGTTAAACTTCCGGAGGACCAAACAATCAGATGCAGCCGCGTGTTACTGCACAGCTCTGTGAACGTACAGGCCTTAATGAAAGAAACTTTGAATTGAATTGTGAAGACAAAAAGTGCAACTTATCTAAATGACATGACACAACCGGGAGACTTAGCCTGTTTTACATTGTTGCTAACATATTATTTTAACCTTTTGCAATGGAGTTACGTCAACAACAAAAAGCACACAACAGTGAGACAGGCTAGTGGATACTTCATGACAGAAAGCAGAATGCTCTTCAACGGCGGATAACGTGAGTTTTTATATACACACATACTGCCCATTCACCCCTGATGGGACAGTATTTATCTTTGTTGTTTTAGTTGATAAAACTCTTTGCTGCGTTGTTGTTGTTGTTGTTGTTGTTGTTGATGCTACAGGAGTTCAGAGTTCACTTGCTGTGTGTGTGGTTATGATTAAGTGTTTAGGCCTGCCGCTGCATGTTTGAGATGATGTATTCCTTCCTGTTTTGGCAGTCTGCTGTAGTGCTTTCTTTTTCTTATGCATATTGATACAGAAAATGTGCACTGATAATGTTTGATGTGACCGAATAGCTATGCAAATTTGTGATGTCATATATTTATGATATTTGCATTGTTTATTTTTTATGTGAACATAAGTAGCCTATATCTAAAAGTTCACTACTTTACTAAAAAGAGTGAAAAATGTCTGTCCCAGTCTTTCAAAAGCCAAAGGGGATGACTTTAAATGTCTTATCAGTCCAACATGCAAGGATATTCAGTTAAATATGGTATAAAAACTGAAAAGAACATTCCCACATGTGGGAAAAGAAATTCTCCCATTTTGGCATGAACAATTAATTATCAAAACATGACATGATCCTTCCAAAAGGACACATTATTTATTTAAAATATCAGACATACAACATGTTTGTCATAAAAATAGAAAATTGTTTTGTGCAAAGTTCTCTGGTTTGAGTGTATCACACGTGCTAAAAACCCACAAGCATTTACCTCAACATTATTGTTCCTATGCTGCACATTTACATGATAAACACTACCTCCTGCACGCTGGTAGTGCTGGTGCTGGTGGACACTGCATAATGCTAATACACTGTACTGGCTAGAACACAGTTTATTATCATACAGTGTGGTGTCCCGGGCCGTTCAAGATCCCAGAGACACAGTCTGCAGACCGGTCTGCAAAGGTGTTCGGTTAAGTGGTCAAACTTCCCGCTGCCCCAGAACTGAAGGAGAAGGAGCAATTCTTCCAGCAGCTGGCCAAAGCCCCGTCTTTTGAGAGGTGTGTGGGTGACGGGTGTCATATATTTGTCAAGATGCCATTTGGACCCAGGACTACCTCAACAGTAAGCTCGTCCCATTCATCTGTGCCCAATTGTGTAGGGTTTTGTATAATTGTTCCCACTCACTTAGCTATTTGTTATTTAATAAACAGCATTAGTACATGTATTGTGTATTTTAATTTGTCTGGTTCTGATTGAAAGGTACAAACGCATCTTCGGGTATATAAGTTTCACTATTCAGCTGGCAGTTACACCTGGAGTAAAGGTTATGAAGACCAGCCAAATTACTAGTTGTATTATTTTTGTCTTCCCTAAATAACAAAGTGCAGCATGAATGTAAAGGGTGCCAGAAATCTGATTTTATTGGAATATTTTTTTGGACAAAAGATCGGCTTTGTATGGGCTTGTGACAAGTGCTTATTTAAAGGGGACCTATCATGCAAAATCCACTTTTGTACGTCTTTTATACATGAATATGTGTCCCCGGTGTTCCAGGGAACTCACCAAGTGTCAGAAAACACAACCCTCTCTATTTTCCTCCATACCCAAATCTCTAAAAAAGGGACTGCAACGGATCTGATAAAAACTGATCTATTGGGCCAACTCCACCAATCAGGAGGAGACCGCCACGTCCATTGCCGTTCGAAAGCGCTGGAGACGCTGCAGTACATATGCCAAGCCTGTAGGTGGTGCTGTTCTCACAGAATCAGCCCTTGCAAAAACAGAGCTAAAAAAGTGCAAATTGAGCGAAATGAGGCATGGCTAAAATGCATGATCTGTTTGGTATTTTGAAAAAAAAAAAGTATAAATATGCTTTATATAGGTATGGTCCTACACTATATTATTCAAATATAGCATGATAGGTCCACTTTAAGCTAAAACAAACATACAAAAAACATGAAATATCTTTCTAACCAAATGCATGATATTTGTAGTTAGAAATAATAATAAAATAAATAAATAACAAGTTTAATTTGCAGTCATTTACTTTGTTGTAAGGTTTGGGTTCATTTATTGTTTTCTATTAAAATACAAGTTGTACAAATTGTAAATCAAAGAATAAGTAACTTTTGATGGATAGAAATAATTCTTTTAATAAACATACTATTTGTATTGGAATAGTATGGCTCTGTACTCTCTTTTTTTTTGTACCTTCTCATTTCATGTGGGACGGTGGCTATCCTTGCATTGAACAGCCATCTTGACCTTCCATCAGGAGCCACTGCATGGGAAGGTGCAGAGCCGACAGCCAACAGCACTCTGCTGAAGCCCCTGCTAAATAAAGCGGCCTTTGGCATGATGGAAGTACAATGGAGGCGCCTGTTGTTGACGCCCTGAAGGTAGAACATGCTTTTTGGTCCTTTAGTTGTAACAGGTTAACTGAACAACATTTGTTTGATGTCTGTTTAACTTTAGCTTGTGTTTTAAATAACCTTTGTGTTTTAATGTCAAGTAAAAGGTGAACATACATTGACCTAACATGTTAAGCTTTAAAAAAACGGTATTTCTTCAAAAGCTCTTCAAAAAGTTTGAAAAACCTATTTGGGTTTTGTTGCATGCCCAGAGGCCTTTACTTCTAACAAGTTAAAACCCAGTACTTCTGCACAGTTACAGATGAAGATGCTACTAACATTTTTTTATAATAGAATAAGAATAGATTCCAGATATGGCTGCGTAGGGTTGTTTAAGACGATCTTAGAACAGATATTTGGTTATAGTTTCCACTGGGGACTTCCTCATTTATTTGTCAATCTACTAAACCAACTAGGTGCTACCAAAAGATGGAAGCTGTGTCAAGAGACATGAGTCTATTTTCTATCCTTTGTAGCAGAAGGTAGCACAAGTGTTGTGATGCTTTAATCAACTGAACGTGCAACGTTTTTTTATTATGGCATTGGCAGCAGAGATTTGTCACATTTTTCATGGGCGCAACCCACATACTCAGCTCTGCTGCTCATCCCACAGATGCATGTTCCTCACAAATGTGGCACCATTTGAAAGGTAAATAAACAGGTTTTCCAACGGTAAACATTAGGGCTGTGCGATTATGGCAAAAATCATAATCACGATTATTTGGGTCAATAATTGATATCACGATTATTAAATACGATTATTCATTGACTTTGAAAAAATCAATTTATTGAACTTTAAAACAAATAATAATTTGAACAGTATCTTTTTAACTGTTGATTACCCTGAACGTATAATTCAACTGAAAAACCAATACAAAAATAAATAAAATAAATGACACATTTAAATAAATAATATCAAAATAATAAATACCAATAAACAAGATCAACAAATATTTTGGAGCGCACTTCTACAAGCTACTAAACATATATAAATATGATAACTACAAATAAATGAGACCAAAATGAATTAGATCAAATATGTTGCAGTGCACTGTCACAACCAAGCAAAGCAAAATAATTGTTTTTTTCGATTATGTTGTTTTCGTAATTGTGGCAGGCCAAAATCGTAATTGCGATTAAAATACGATTAATTGCACAGCCCTAGTAAACATTTATTGACAAGAAGCATTGTTACTGCAAATAAATCATCTACCAAACACAGATTTCCTTACTTTTTGTGTTAAGTTTATATCAAATACAGCAAATATCTTAATTCACACAAAAGTACTTATGTCCCATATTTGTATGCATCATAATATGTTTTATAATTTAATATTGTGTCAATTCCTCATGTACGCATCACTGTTGAGAAGTGATGTGTGAGTGGGCTGGGAAACAAGCAAAACCACATGCAGCTCCACAGGACTTTGGAGGTGACTCGTGCAAAATGTTATTTAGTTCTAATCATGTTATTGTGAGTCATGTGGTTTATGACTATCAGCATCTCTAACTTGCAGGTCCAGCATGATGCATATGAATTATCTTAAGCATCGACTTCAAAGGGAAGAAAGACATCTGTCCTATACACCTGTCAGATGTTATCAAACCCTTATGTTTAATTTGAATGTAAAAGCACTTTTAACTGTGTAAACAATATTCTCTATTTTGTTTGTAACGAAACATACTTAATGGAAAAACAGAATACTTCACTTTTCATATTGTGTCATTGTTATTGATGACATTGTTCGAGGCACTACTGTGTGTGAATCATTTGCTTAAAAGACTTGAAATGTCAAAAATGATTCATATTTCAGAAGCATGTGTGCAGGTTTGAAAGAGTTAATCAAACTTCAGAGGACGTGTGGTGACTAATGCTATATTGCATAATGTTGTCAAACACTAAATACTTTGTTTACCTTTGGCCAACGTGATGATTTGGGAGTTTTCTCCCCAATGCGAAGTTGGGCCAAGAAATCAAAGTCCAAAACAACTCCTATAAATGATTCAGCAGTTTGCAGAGACTTCACTGTCACTGTGTTTGTGATTCAGGTAAATATGCCTTTTATGAAACATTAGTATACAATATGTTTATGACAAACTTGATGACCAAAAACTTGTTTTCATTTATTTCTACCTTTTCAGCTGCAAGGACTATACAAAAGGAAGGTGGAAAAAACAGTTACCATTCCACATTAAACTTAAAAGGTTTGTATTTTCTTATTACTCTCCCTTTTATAATGCAGCAGTCGGTAAGAGTTTAACAGTGATTTTTGTTTTGTTCCTCATGACTGTGTTGGATGTGATCTTACCCGATTTCTCTGCAGGTCTGTAACACTTAAACGATAAATACAAAAAAAGTATTTTTAGCAACACTCATTAAATATTTGGATTTCTTAAGACACCTTTAATCTCAACCAAAAATATGTCCAACAAATATTTTAATTCTGCAAAATAGGACAATATAAAAAGAAAAACAACCATAAAATGCATTTTAATATAATTAAACAAATCCATTGATGTCATCGTGTTGAGTACTTGAAACAAGTATAATTTGATAACAGTGGTGATGCTACAACACCACGTCTCATAACATGTAATTGCTTATGGGAAATATTAATTAGTGCAAATGCTGTTTACAGCATTCAACTATAGTTCTTCGAATCTTTATTCTTTCCACTTATTATTATTTCAGCCAATACTTTGGCTCTCCATAACTTCAGCATACTTTCAGCTACAGAAACCATTCAAATATCAAACTATTCAGCCTGTTCAGGAATCAATGGGAAACCTTCAACTTTTTAAAAATATCTTATACTTTTTGAAATATTCAGCTTTTTAAACTCTTTTTTTAACATGGAAGTTAATGGGACGACTCTTCAAATCCTCTTTAACTACACCTTACGCCAAATGCTTCTCCTTCCACATACTTTCAGCTAAATACTTCATTCCAACTTTAAAATGATCACAAGACCTTCAGCTATTCAATTCGATTTCAGATTTTCTTAGTTTGGAGCTTGGTAGAGAGGCCTTTTCAGATTGTAACATTTGTGTGGATTGAGCAGCTCGTTAAGTCTAGAGTGCTTTGATCTCAAAACAGAGTGGACGAGTGCTTGAAATTCTCCCAAAAAATTATTTTAACCTGTTAAGCTCTGAGCCTGTTTTTCAGGTCTCAGGCTCGAAAATGACATTCCCAGAACAAATGACCATATCTTCCCTTCTAAAAGGGTTAAATTAATAATATTTGTTCTCAAAGTAATGATAAACCTGTGAGTTGGATGTAGAAAAGTCAGAATCAATATAAATGTTTTTTATTTTAAAGAAAATTCAGATTTTACATAGTAAAAAACTGTAAATTATCGTGTCCGTCCAAAAATTATTTTTTACTTATAGTGAAAACTACCCTTGGATGATGGGTTAGTAGACTAAAAGCTTTAGGAATCCAAAGTACAACATATAATAAGTACCCTGTATCAAGATTGATGCAAAACAAGTGACATTTGACCTTTTTAGAGAGGTTTAGCCAAAATCACTCCACCTCTGAGGTGATTTGGGTGAAAATTAGTTTTTTTCCATATCTCTGGCCCCCCTTGGTCGATTTGGATGGTTGACACCTCTTTCTGACCGTTAGAGCCAATAGAATCGAAGGGGGAGTCACACACACGTTGTGAAGAGAAGAGGTGGGGGCTTCGCGCATGTAATTTAGCATCAGAGTGGACCTATCTCTAGCTCTGACATTTGGAAACGAAAAAGCAGTTTTATTGCTTATGGATTATCAGAAATCATTTCAAAGAGGACACAGACACATTGGATTAACCTATGGATTAACTGCAGCATCGTTTTTTTATCGTTTTAATGCCATTGAAGACCAGTTTTGACCAAGGTAAGCCATGTTAGCGTTTCTAGCTACCTAGCTCCACATGTTCTGATGTACGCTTTCGTTTATCTCAATCTCAATCTTTATTTATTTATATAGCACATTTAAAACAACCTTCAGTTGACCAAAGTGCTGTACAGGCAATACATATTAAATAACACAATGGGAGTACAATAATAAAACAATAATTAAAAACATGATAAAAAGCACAATAACTAGAAAAATATTTAAAAAAAACACATACAAATGTAAAAATGTAATGTTCAACTAATATTAAAAGCCAGTGCAAAGAGGTGAGTTTTTAGCTGAGATTTAAAACGTTCAATAGACTCAGCAGTCCGGATATGTACTGGGAGGCTGTTCCACAGTCTGGGAGCTGCAACACTGAAAGCCCTGTCACCTCGGGTTTTTTTCCTGCACCGAGGAACCACCAACATATTTTGCTGAGCTGATCGCAATGCTCTAGCTGGAGCATGGCGGTGCAACAACTCAGACAAGTAATGTGGTGCCAGTCCATGCAATGATTTAAAAACAACAAGTAAGTACTTGAACTGGATCCTGTAACTGACAGGAAGCCAATGAAGGTCTGCCAAAACAGGTGTGATGTGGTCATAACGTCTCTTCCCAGTAAGAAGGCGTGCAGCCGCATTTTGGACCAGCTGCAGGCGACGGATCAAACACTTATCAACACCAATATACAGGGAGTTACAATAGTCGAAACGAGACGTTATAAATAGGTGGATTAGCTGTTCAAATTCCTTACTAGGAAGATAGGCCTTTACCTTCCCCAGAAGCCGCAGCTGGAAGAAGCTTGTCTTGACAACTGAGCTTATTTGTTTGTCGAATTTAAAACAGTTGTCAAAGATGACTCCAAGATTTCTGACAGAGGGATGGCTGTAGGAGGCTAAGGGGCCGAGTACACTATTAAAGCCATCCAGGAGTTCAGACTGTCCAAATATTATAATCTCTGTCTTGTTTTCGTTGAGAGTCAAGAAGTTGATTTCCATCCATGATTTTATGTCTTTCAGACAGCTAAGCAAGGCAATCCTAGATTCATTATTTGCTTTTATAGGCAGGTATACCTGCAGATCATCTGCAAAGCAATGGTAAGAAATGTTATGGTTTTTAAAAATTGACCCCAGAGGTAGTAAATACAGACTGAACAAAATGGGGCCTAGGATAGAACCTTGAGGGACCCCATATGATAGTGGGGCTGCAGCTGAAGAATACTGGCCAAGATGCACAGAAAAGGTCCTTTCTGACAGATAGGATTGAAACCATTTTAGGACATTACCTTTAATTCCAACACACAGTTCAAGGCGTGATAAAAGAATTTGGTGGTCAATGGTGTCAAAAGCAGCAGACAAATCTAAAAGCACAAGCACATCAGAATTCCCAGAATCAGCAGTTAAAAGAAGATCATTCAAAACTCTTAGGAGAGCAGTTTCTGTACTGTGGCGTGATTTAAAACCAGACTGAAACTTTTCTGATATACAGTTTAAAACAAGGTGCGACTGCAGTTGCGCTAACACCACTTTCTCTAGGACTTTAGACAGGAAGGGCAGCTTAGAAATAGGTCTAAAGTTGGAGAGAACAGAATGATCAAGGTTCTGTTTTTTGATAAGAGGCTGCACTAAAGCGTGTTTAAAAAAGGTTGGAACGCAGCCTGAGGTGAGAGAGATATTTATCAAAGTTAAAATATATGACCCAATTGTAGTAAAAACGTCTTTCAGTAGTCTCGGAGGAATACTGTCTAAGGGGTATTGTGAAGGTTTCAATTTTTTAACCACATCAGATAACTCGGGCAGTGAAACCAGGTCAAATTGCTCGAAGACAGCTGAGCACACAGGAGACACTGCTGGGTCTAAGGTGAGAGGAGGAGGTGAAGATCTGATGGCCAAGACTTTATCATTAAAAAATGAAAGGAGCATCTCCTCTCTGCTCGTCTACATGCGCGTCTCAGGGCGCGGGTAGATTCAGTCATCCACGGTTCAGTCACAGGTTTAGGGCGTCTGGCCGTGAATGGAGCGATCAGGTCCAGAATATCCGTGCAAGTAGAATTAAAAAGGCTGAGAATCTCCTCAGCACTGGCGTCACAAGAGTCAATTAATGTGGAAAGCACAGAGTCATTAAAGGCAACGGAAAACTGTGACGCTGTCAGAGGATTCAGCGCACGTAGGCGGTGCTCCGGAACGCACGAGTCAACTTGAGAGCAAGGCAGCATCATAGTAAATAACACAGGCAAATGGTCCGAAATACCAGCGTCGCAAATGTTTATCACTGAGTGTTGAGGTTTTTTACACAGATTCTGTGTCTCCAGGAGATGCTAATCGATGGGTTGGCTGTGCATCTAGGATAAGTAACAAGGGAGTTATGAGTGAGTTTAGGTGCCGTTTTAGGTTACATTTTTTCGCTCGTGGCTAATTCAGAGGCTGAGTGCTAGCATTGTGGGTTTTTTTTGGATTTTTTTTTTTAAAAGATCAGTTAGCTGAGTTTCTTCCCGTTACATGGATATAAAACATTCATAGTTTATTAAATATTAAGATTCCTTAGACGTTGTTTCCTGCAAATGACGCGTTTATCCGCCCGGTACCGGGGGGGGCGGTGCGTAACAGGTTAAGGGGCTGGTACACATGTGTTGTGTTGCGGTGTACTGTAGGCAGAGGCGGTTCTAGACCAATTTGACTGGGGGGGGCAGGCTGGGGCACAATAAATGCAGGACGAAAAAGACAAAGACAGTATGAAGTAATTGCGCATAAGAAAACAATGCAATACAGTAATTGGTATTTGTTTCAGTACACATATTTATTTCAGATACTTATAGTTACAGTTTTTACGCTCTAATGGGTCCGACTAGAATGACAAATAACGTTAGTTCCGCCTATTCCGTCAGCCAATATATCGTTTAATCATAAACCACCTCCCCTAGAACCGCCCCTGATCTGTAGCAACATTTGTTTTTCAAAGTGTGGTCTTATTGTAGTCGAGCTTAAAGCCAAAGTATCATTATACAACAGAGGTCGTGTTTTATTTGGCCAACAGTTCAGTGTCTACCTTCTGATTAGCGTTAGCATCCATTTCCACAAGTCTCCCGCTCTTCTCTGCACAGTAAGGTGACCAAACGCAGCATAACAAACACAGACTGATGAGTCGGCTATGCCTAGGTACATATTGATCAGATTGCACAAACAGTGAATACGCTGTCACATTCACACACACACTTTTTTATTTTCAACTAAATCATAGCCTTTTGGTTATATAATCGCACAGGCTCCTATTGCAACTGTGATGCCTAGGCTATTAGATTAATATGCAGGCCTAAATAACTGTAATGCTGACTGAAAAGGCTAGACTCTTTACCAAAGACATTTAATGAGTATTAATACAATTGTGTAAAAATGGACATTGTGCAGTATACTTGATCCTCTGTGTAAGTGCATATGTCCGTCTGTATATCTTTGCCCTTTTTCCTGTAGCCCATACTTTGGACTGTGAAACAGCCAATTGCATCATTAGTTTGTTGTCTGATCATACTGTGATTACAGCAATGTTCATTTCACTGGGTTCAAGGCTTTACCGGAGTAAACTTGAACTGTGATCAGCAAACATTTAAATAAACCTTCTGCCTTTGCCCCAAACGGCCCAAAACGTAACAGGTTTGATAACGATACAGCCCGTATAAGTCTGAATAGGTCGGCCTCCTCAGTGAAACCATACAGTATGCAACTTGCTCAAATGTTGGAGCAAAGCAGTCTTATACACCTGTACCAGAAGATGGCAGCAGAGTGAAGAGAGACAGAGATATACTGATATCCAAGTTGAGTCAGCATTGGAAATACAAGTGGTACATACAGAGCTATATTGGGAACGTTAGAAACACAAAATTAGAAAATGAAGCAAAATAAGTTGCTTTAATCAGAAGTAAGTCTTTAACATGAAGATAATCACATCTGGCCCTGTAGGAATTAAACTGCAGATTTGTAGGTTTGCCATGAGAGTTTATTATTTTACATTTTGTCCAAAGTAAGGGAAAAATAATAACACGTGTTTGGATCCTCTTTGCTTTTGGCCTAACACAGTTACTACTTTATGTGGGGACCAGTTCTTACTCCAAACAACACATTACAATTGACAATGTTTCAAACACCATTTATACAATTTCAGCTTGGACTTTGACTTTGTTTGACCTTCAGCTCACAACACAAAAATACAACTACAGTATGCCTCATGATGCATACAAAACGAATTATACCTCATACCTCATTACCTTTATTAGTCCCCTCCGTTGGACTAATAAAGGTATTCTGATTCTGATCTGGGTTTCACAATGTGTTCCCAGCAGTACGTTCTACCTGGATGAGCGACAGAGTTTCAGTTTTCTTTCTTTTTAATTGAAACTCATAAATAACGTCGACAGCCTTGTTGCTTTACTCTGTATAAAAGCTTTAGGGCCATCAGAAATCTCATTGTCACATTTTAGTGGGACATTGTGTTAACTGCTTTCACCCGGTAAGGAAAAAAAGCAACAGTCTGAATTACCGGTTATCTTAATTTTTATCAAAGTGGATGATGAAAATGCCCTAACATTGTAAAGGTCCTAGGATAATTCTCATTGGATGTGGGACACTTTTGACACAAAAGCTAAACCAGTTGATGTAATTTGTCTAGTCTTACAAATCCATGGTAACACTTTATAGGCTTGAGTGTTGGTATTCCCCCCTCTTCTCAGAAATAAAAAACTGGTTTAAAACTTTTTTTATTTTCCATCGCTTGTGACCTTACTCAAACACGCAGCCATTTCCTTAATGAAAGTGATTTAAGAAGCAACCACTCTCTGTATTGAGAGCAGCTTTTATCCCCCATCACAATGTGGTTACAAGAGGCCTTTTTTCAACCACTATCTGAAGGATTGTCATGATATTTTGTACACACTTTTATGCTCCTCCAGAATTACTCTTAATGACTTTGGTGATCTACTGAAGGTGTGTCCTTGTAACACATTATAGAAACCAATGTTAGGGCTAAAAAAGAAAATGCAATGGAGGAAGATTATGTAGCTGATTCAGCATTTTTCTTCCATTCAAACAGACCACAAAACCTCAAAGTGTTGCAAAACAACATTGTGACAGGATATGTATTTGTTGGGCCCTCCCTACTGTGGCAGTCTGACCCATCCCCACCATCACATATCCTCACCTTTACTGCAAAACCAACGAAGATCCCAACAAGAGACAACATCAAGATGATCCTTTTATGGATTACACTGCTTCTTCTCCATCAAGGATGTAAGTGCTATCTATCTCTTCCAGATAATGTACTATTTCAGCGTTAGTGAGGGGAAATAAATAATATATTTGTTACATTTGTTTATTAGTAAGGGAATCATAGCAACCTTTTTCTTAAAGGTTGGTATATAGTTACAGAACCTCAAACACACTTTATATTTCTGGCTGTATTTACAGAAATAAATGTGTGTATAAAATTGCAAGTAATATTGTTTGTTCAATCTTCTTTCCTGTATACTTCCATTGCACTTGTAGATTATGATTGTTATAATAATTATATACTCTCTATTGTCTTTTAATACAGATGGACTGATTCCAGTGACCATAGTTCAACTTGGTGAATCTGCAACCTTCACATGCGTTTACCCCAATTGGGAGCATAGCAATACACGAGTCAAGTGGTACAAACAGAGTGTTGGTGATTCTCTTAAATTAATTACTACATTGTTGAAAGGCACTGAAATTCCTGCATTGGAAAAAGGGTTTCCTCACTACCGTTTCAATGTAAAACATCTAGTTAACATGAGCTCTCTGACCATTTTGAAGACAATCCAAGAAGACAAGGCAATGTATCACTGCGCAGTCACTACCTGGAGCAAGGATGAATGGACGAGCACATATTTGTCTTTAAAAGGTAATACCTATCTCTGTATATATGTTAGTAAAGTGAAGATAAAACTGATGCTTTTGGTTTCATAATAATTGACAATTTCAACATCTGACATTTTCATTTTTACCTTCCATTACTGAAATGACATGATAAAAACAACTTTTTTATATTTCCACCGTCGTGTTCTTTAGGAAACACTCTGAGGGCGACAAACTTTACTGTTGTTCAGTGGCCGACACTATCCGATCCAGTTCATCCAGGAGACTCCGCCACTCTCCAGTGCTCGGTCCTCTCTGACTCTGAGAACAAGAAATGTCCAGGGGAGCACAGTGTACACTGGTTTGGAGTCAGATCAGATAAGTCTTACCCTAACATCATCTACACTGATGGAAATGAACAAAATGAGTGTCAGAAGACATCGGACACTAAGAAGAGTTGTGTTTATCACCTCTCAAAGAACTTCAGCTCCTCTGATGCTGGGATTTACTACTGTGCTGTGGCCACATGTGGAGAGATATTATTCGGAGACGGAACAAAACTGAACATTGAAGGTAAAAGTATTGCTGTTTATTTTAACCCGTTTTCTTCCTTTTATCGTTAATTGATGTGCTTTTTAAGTTTGGGATTTGTTTGTATTTAACTTTAAGTTATACAGTTAATTTTCTATTAGATCCTTTAAACTGTCTTTATGGATGGCGAGCCAATCTAAATGAAGTATTCCAGATGTCTTGGGCATTATTTTATCTGGCCTTAGACATCATTGATGTACATCACATGTTTGTAATAAGCAACCCAAGTGGTTTAAGTCAGTGTGGTTTAAGTGTTTGATAGGGACATTTGCATTGATAAGAGGTTACATTCAAAGTAAAATCAAATCCATATTGATTGTGAAGAAATATTTGAAGTAAAGTCAAATATTCTTGGGTGAAAGTACTTTTTTTTTACTCGGACTAAATGTTATTGTGTTTTCCTTTCATGTTTCAGGAACCGGCTCACGGTCTTTTGGTGATTTACAGACTGACGATGTATTTCTGCTTCTGCCGTCTGTGGTCTCGGCCATTAGTGTGATTGTTATAGCCATCCTTATTCACACCATCAAGAAAAACAAGTGTGATTATTGCCATGACAAGGGTAAGTATAGTCCCTCTCTATATCTCTTATTAGCTGATGCTAACTAGGGCATCCTTATCTATTTCTAAATTCCTTTTGTTCATATTGTAGCTGCGGTGTCCCTGCAAGAAAATGTTGCAAAAAGAAATGTAAAGGTAAGATCACTATTTCAAAAAAACGTATCGTGCATCTTGATCAGTTTTGACCAAGTTCGTTCTTGCATAATCTGTATTACATTTCCTCAGAGAAATGAAGACCCATGGATTTATTCTACTGTCGTCTTTACCGTCATGGAAACCAGCATTGGTGTAACTAGGGAGGGAAGAGCAGCAAAGAGAGAGAGGATCTACGCTGCTGACAAAGCTTTTTGAACGGATTAGCTTGTTAGAAGTGGACTCCGCTAGGGCTGACACATATTTGTTTTGCTCACAGATCGGACAGCAAGTGGATACTGAGATTTATCCTGAATTTGACAATTGTATTGCATTTAATCGTTTATTTGGCAGGGACAATCACAGTAATGAACACTTAAAACATTCAAATGTGTCAAGCGTAACAGTGCCAGATTTAGCTTTGAGCTAATTTCCATCCACAGTCCCTCATAAAATAAGCAGACTGCAGCTTGCTTGTTTGAGTTTTAAAGCTAAAAGCTGTTATACCATGTGTGATTTAGCTTGCATTGAGCCTATGATGTTTATCTGGAATATTCTTTTGTTCATATGCTTACATGTAAAAATACTTGATTAAAATAAAAGGGCATTTTGTTCCATTTGTGTTTGTTGGATTTCAAATGTTGTGAAATAGTGATACAAACAGATATTAGCGAAGGCCTGTTGTGCATCTAGGCCGCAGGTACACTGCTTCTTCACCATCATGCACCCCTTGGTTTTTATCAAAGTTCTTTTTTAAAAAACCTACTCAAACATGAACATTTCCCACATACAAATTCCACCAAATGTGGTAAGAAATACTAAATATGATTTGAATGCAAGTGTGTCAATTGTCTTTCCAGAGAAGACTAATTGTTTTCTTCATTGACAGTGAAAGGCAGAATAATTCTTCTAGTTCAAAGGAAGCATGACACGAAATGTTACTGCAGTCATAATTAAATTATTGCTCTGTGAAATCATTACGCAGGAAGCCTCTTTAGGTTTGACAACTTTAACTTTGGGTGTTTGTTGTGAGAATGATTCATAATTTATGCAAGCCATGTTGGTGCATGAAACACAGGTGGTCTCCTGTATGAACACCAAACACCAGGGGGCACTGAAAGGTGAAAAGCCGTAGATTTGGATTTATTTCTAAGAGTAAGGATTAAACGTTAGCTAGAGGAAACTAATAAAATAACAGCAAATATTATTATTTTATATATAGCAGTATTTATTCTGCTTATTCACTTATATGTGCACAATATAACCACATTTCCATACACTAATATCTTTAATGCAGATGATATAGTTCATGCACAGTTCCACCCCCAAAGGAGGATAGGCAGCAGCTTTTCTTTTAGTTCCGTTTTATATATCTAAGAAATCATAGCCAGCTTTTTTTGTCAAGGAATCACATCAGCAAACACAGGTATTGTTAAATGAATACTAACTAAAACAGTATTCAACACAGCCCTATTTTACACTGCTGTCATACTGTGAACTACAACACATTAACAAACAACCTGCCTAGCTGGTATTAAACATGATCAAATATTTACTTTTCTTCTCTGCTTCTTAGTCGCGGCATATAGAGGACACTGGCTGTTTTCTCACATCTATGTCTGAAAGAAAAGCTGCCTGGAGCATTTTTAAACATGAGGTTCAGCTTTCCTCTTGCTATTGTGTTGGTTATTTTAGTTCCTCTTTTAACTTTGTTGTCTTTATGAGATATGTTCAAAGTGATATTTAGAACAGTGTTTAATGATTTAATGGAGATATATATGAACCCGGCCTCACAAGAAAAAAATACCCTTTTCCTCTGATTTGCCACTCAAGCTGCTGGGTCCCATTTATGAAGGGGACACATTTTTATTATTTGCAGCCACATACAACAATAGAACAAAAAGCATTTTTTTTTTAATTCAATCGACAGGTTATACATGTAAGCATTAAAAGAAGATAAAAAGTAATCAATATATACTTGATATGCAAAACACAAGCTAATTACAACATGCTATAACACTTGCGCTTCAATTACATTAATACAATACTCTATGTCAAATATCAGCTAATATCTCCTTACGGTGCTCTAGCTGTCCGCTCTATGTGTGTGCTGAGAAATAATCTGGTATACTGCCCTGGGCTAGCCGTACAACGCTGGTCCAACAAATCACCAACTGGCACTCATGCATGTGCACAGGACAGGGAAAGGAATCTCTGACTCCACTTTTAAAAAGCTAACATTTCAAAATGCCTTGGCGGCAGCGTAGATCCTCTCTCTCTTTGATGCTTTTTTGTCTCTCGTTCCACCAATGCTGGTTTTCATCACGGTGTAGATCACAGTAGAATAAATCCATTGGTCATCATTTCTCTACGAAAATATATAGCAATATGTAATATGTGAAAAACTGAAATAGATGAATTGTCCATTTTATGTGTACAGTATGTTGATCTTACCTTTGCATTCATTTTTGCAACATAGTCTTGCAGGGACACAGCATCTTCAAAAGGAAAAAAAATTAGAAATAGATAAGCATGCACTTGTTTATAAAATAACTGATATTATCATCATGTTATATAAGGTACATTTAATTACCATTATTATGGTCACATTCACACTTGCTTTTCTTGATGGCGTGAATAAGGACGGATATAACAATCAGACTTATAGCCGAGATCCCACACAGCAGATATATGTTGTAAGTCTGTAAATTACAGAGGGAATCTGAAGAAAACACGAGAGGAATTTACTTTACAATACCACAAATATTTCCTTACAATCATTCTGGATTTTATTTGACTTTTTATTTCCTAATAAAATGACACTTACTTGGGTTTCTTATGACTATCTTATGATGTACAGCAAAACATAAATACTGTAACCCTTAGAGAATTGTATTTCCTTTCCTGCCTATTAGTAGGATATGAAGATGCCGAAATATAATGTAAAATATTGCCCAGAACATCTTGAATAGTTATATTTAATGATAGGTGGGACCATAAAGGTGGAAACTTCTGGAGAATATATTGTATATCAAACAATTTTGAATATAAATATTTTTCAAACTTAAAAGCACCTAACCCAGCAGTAAAAGTGAGAGAAAAGGTTAAAACATATAGCAATACTTTTACCTTCAGTTTTCAGTTTTGTTACATCTCCAAATAATATCTCTCCACATGAGGCCACAGCACAGTAGTAAGTCCCGGCATCAGCGGAGTTGAAGTTCTTTGAGAAGCAACTCTTCTGAGTGTCCGGTAACTTCTCACATTCATCTTGTCTTCTTCCATCAGTGTAGATGAAGCTAGGACGAGATTTATCTGAGCCAGCTCTGAACCAGAACACACTGATGTCTCCTTGACATGTTTTATTCTCAGATTTAGAGAGGACTGAACACTGAAGGGTCATCGAGTTTCCTGCAGGAGCTGGATCAGATAATGTCGGCCACTGAACAGAATAGTTTGAAGTCCTCTGAGTGTTTCCTGAAAAATACAAAACAGTTTTAAAAAATGTATCCCATTTCATCTGACATTTGTGAAAGTATTAACATGAATCTGCTGATATTTAGCACATGTGGAGCTGCTTTATTAGTACAGATTCCCTATACAGATTAAATGAAATTAGATATTTAAATATCGATTAGAGCTTCAATAAAGATAAAGCAGAGCATAGAACGTAACTACCAAGTTTTAACCATATATTTAAAGATATAGTGCATGGCAGAATTGGCAACACTTTTAGTGTTGAGTGGTTAATACTGTAATTTTCTCAAATATATACAACATAGCTGTTGGTAAATAAATCAACATCCAAAGTAAATACAAATATCTGAAAACAAATAGAATAATTTAATCTTAATTGTATGTCTAACTGAATTTATATTTTAATTAGTGTTAAAATGGAACAGATAATTAAAATGATACTTTACTTAAACATTACCAAAGTGCAGTTTTGGATCCGACCTGAAGCATTTACAAAACTATTTATAATAAACTAGATCACATTTACCTTTTAGTAACAAATATGTCCCACTCCATACAGGATTTCCAAAACGCGCTCTGATTAAGCAGTGATACATTCCTTCATCTTCTGGGTTTGTCCTCCGAATCGTCAGGTTGCTTAAATTGTTATTGCGTTTTAGCTCCAATCTTGAGTCAGAAAACTCTGGTGCAAACTCAGGTTTTGTAAATTCGACCAGTGTCACAATTAATGTCAGAGTCTCTCCAGCATTTTGCTTGAACCAGTAGAGCTGTTTAAAGCTATACTCAATATTAGGCAGAGCACACGTGAAGGTCGCAGATTCACCAAGAGGAACTGTAGTCACTGGAACCAGCGTATCTGAAATAAATGACAGAATACAAACCGTGAAACATTAAATAACAATTAGTGTACAATATTTATCATGCACAAACAAAGTTTAGTTACATTATGTATCTAGTGTGCATGGACATTCTTAACAGGATACTTGCACTTACAGCCTTGGTGAAGAACAAGCAGTGTTACCCATAAAAGCAGCATCTTGATATTGTATTTTGTGAGAGAACTCTTTGGTATTTGAGTGGTTTTAAAGTAGAAGTCACATGGTCACGAGTATGTATGTCAAACTGTCAAATGCATCTGATTGGTTTTCACGGAATAAAGGTTCAAAGTTGCCCTTCCTGTAACGCTGGTCCCTCCCTAGTCTTTTTGAAGCATTATTCTTCTCAATTCACCAAAGGCATTTGAGCACTTTCAATAAAGATTAGAGGTAGCATATTGCCTATGCAGTTATACTTGAATATATTGTAAACTTTTGCTGACGGTATTGGACAACACATTAAATGATAATAAATACAATTGAGGAAATTACAAGATACCATAATACAGTTTTAAACTGTCTAGACCAGTCTGACAACCTTTTCTAAAAATCTGCTCCAATTCACATCACTTAGACTTAGAGCACTATTGGATTGGCAGCCTCTCCACATTAATGATATTGCCTACATGTTCATCTGCAATATTTTAAGATTGCGCATACATATAGTATTTTTACATTCACTAAGCAAGTAGAAAAACATTAACAAATCCTTGCAACTGTCCCTTCACTGCATATAATTTTGAATCCTATGGTTAGTTCTGAGTAGACACCCTTGATGGCCAAAGGGTGGAGAAATGACCCTGTCTGTCAGTGAAGCTGCTTTATTTTGCTCTGCTTGTGAATGAAAAACAACCTCAGGATTTACAAAGAGGTTTTCTGATGCTATATATTTAAGAAATGATTGTGTAGGAAGTTGTGTTTGACAAAAACAGAGCAGTTTACTCACATGAACAATGAATGTTGGCGCTCCTTGTCGGCATATTGAAGGCTAAGCGAATGCACTGCATATTTTTTATATCATTTATCATGTCCCATGTACCATTAGTTGACATTTTACAAAACACCAAACCTTTCAACATACCAGTAGTAAATGTTGATGGTCAAATCAGAGACATATTGCGTATTTTAAGAAACACGATCCAATTTGTAAACGTCATAACATTACATCTCATTAAGCTGACGATTTTTATCGATCAAAGTTTATTTATTTGTTCTTCACACCATCAACAATATTTGCCACCCTTTTCTGCATTAAATGTATTTCTCTGTTGGATATGATTAAAAAGTGTGCTTTCTGCCATCTTTTGTAAAAGGCAAATGGTTCAACAAACTGAAGATTTTCAATTAATTTACATTGAATAAATATTAGCTTGAAAATCTGGCACCATTAACATTTCAATATAAATGCATTGCTTGTAATGCAACACAAAGCACAACAGCCGATATAGGTCTCTTAGGTCTAATCCTACCACATTGTTGTTGCAGCTGAATTAGAAATGCATTTATTTATCTTTTTTGATTTGTGTACAAAGAAAATATAACCTGCCATTTGCCATAGTGAAAACACAGAGCAGCCATGTTAAACACTGTGCAAGCCAGCCAATCTAACCTCCACGTAATTTCTGATGACTCTGCCTGTCACTTCAGCAGGAAGAGCACAGCGTGCAGAGGAGGGCTGTCAAACCACCCATCCTCGACACATACATATATACATATATCTGATGTACAAATTAATCTGTCGATTGAATGTTTCTCATAACTCTGTCATTATGCTGCTTTCAAATCCGTGTCTCAGTGCTATACGATACCAGTCACCTCTGTGGGAACATTGGTATAACTGCCTTTTTTAATTTATATTTGAGTGTTGTATGTCTTTTAATAATGGACCAAGAGTCTCTTCAAATAAAGCTGATGATGATACACACTTTGCAGAGAGCTTGTTAGAGGAAGCAGCAGATCAACAGCCTCAGATTATCACAGGAACACATTCATCCTGACACAATTTCTGACCTGCATATTTGTATCTGAGGGAAGAAACCTATGTAAACCAAGGAAACAAAAATAATCTGATGGCTATTTACAAAGCGATTAACATAAAACAATCCTCGGTCATGATACTGTGCACTCGTACACTATTGACACTTAGTAGGATCACCTAACAATATAATGCAGTACAGTAAAACTCCCCGCACTCTGGCATCATCATTTACCAAGAAGAAAGAGTTAGGGTTTCGTGACAACAAGGTGTATAGAGAATATAATTTGAAACTTAGCAACTTATCTATGTCCAGACCATCTGTCCGAGCAGCATGTTGTGGTTTGTGGCTTTCTTTAGGGTCAACAATTGTTGACAACAAGCCATAACATGCCTTGTACTTTCACACAAACAGTCAGATATAAATGCATTCACACTGAAAACCAGATGATGCATGGAAGCTTCAGCGCGGCTGTGGTTGGGCTTCACACTGAGCTGTGAATACAAAGGGGCGCTTGTACCTTTATCATTCGATAAACCTCAGGAAGCTGGGCTGACTCTGCTGATTTACCTTTTTTTGTATTTCTTTGTTGGCAAGTGAAATACACTCTATGTGATAACCCTTTTCATTTCACCTTACTGCGAGTTGATGCCTTTTATCTGTAGTCCCAGTCAGAGAGGGGAGGTGCCAATCATTCACTGAACCCACTCAGGTCTAATCAAAGCAGGAGTTTGAACCGTTATCTAAGTTAACTTTGTCTGATTATCCACAAAATGTTTGACAGCCCCGCTAAAGTCAGTTGTTGACGAACAGACAGCCTGTTGATTGTGGTGAATTAATGAATAACAAACTATATCAAATATCCATATATTAATTTCGTAATTGCACATGGCTGTAGATGCTTTTTGTTGCATCTGAAACATATAATTGTTTGTTTTGAATGAGCAAATGAACAAGTCAAACTTAAAGAATGAAGCTCCTGAAGCGTCTCTCCTCGCTTCACATCCTGTTGAGGCCCATAGTCGGGTCTGTTCTGAGTAACAGCCTTGATGCTTGGTCAAAGGGTGGAGAGATGGCCCACCACAACGCATGACTCTCAGTGTAGCTGCTGCATGTGGCTTTGCCTCTTGTTCTGACGCAGAAGGTCTTTACAAAGGGATGTGAGATCTGAAAGATAGTGCTTTATTCGTTTTAAGTAGTACATTCCACTATTAGACCGTAGTTGTGTATGTTATGACAATAATCCTTGGAATCTTGAATCTAGTTGTCCTCTGAGTTTTTCATTACAATATTTTAAATATTTATTTTAACAAAGAAAGATTGTGCCTACAACATAAAAGATTGTTTCTTCATTGGTAGTGAAAGGCAGAATAATGCTTCTAGTTCAAAGGAAGCATGACTGGAAATGTTACTGCAGTCATAATTAAATCATTGCTCTGTGAAATCATTACGCAGGAAGCCTCTTTAGGTTTGACAACTTTAACTTTGGGTGTTTGTTGTGAGAGTGATTCATAATTTAAGCAAGCCATGTTGGTGCATGAAACACAGGTGGTCTCCTGTATGAACACCAAACACCAGGGGGCACTGAAAGGTGAAAAGCCGTAGATTTGGATTTATTTCTAAGAGTAAGGATTAAACTTTAGCTAGAGGAAACTAATAAAATAACAGCAAATGTATTTATTCTGCTTATTCACTTATATGTGCAGAATATAACCACATTTCCATACACTAATATTGTTTTAATGCAGATGATATCGTTCATGCACAGTTCCATCCCCAAAGGAGGATAGGCAGCAGCTTTTCTTTTAGTTCCGTTTTATATATCTAAGAAATCATAGCCAGCTTTTTTTGTCAAGGAATCACATCAGCAAACACAGGTATTGTTAAATTAATACTAACTAAAGCAGTATTCAACACAGCCCTATTCTACACTGCTGTCATACTGTGAACTACAACACATTAACAAACAACCTGCCTAGCTGGTATTAAACATGATCAAATATTTACTTTTCTTCTCTGCTTCTTAGTCGCGGCATATAGAGGACACTGGCTGTTTTCTCACATCTATGTCTGAAAGAAAAGCTGCCTGGAGCATTTTTAAACATGAGGTTCAGCTTTCCTCTTGCTGTTGTCTTGGTTATTTTAGTTCCTCTTTTAACTAACTTTTCTTTATGAGATGTGTTCAAAATGATAATTAGAACAGTGTTTAATGATTTAATGGAGATATATATGAACCCGGCCTCACAAGAAAAAAAATACCCTTTTCCTCTGATTTGCCACTCAAGCTGCTGGGTCCCATTTATTAAGGGGACACATTTTTATTATTTGCAGCCACATACAACAATGGAACAAAATGCATTTTGTGTTTATTCAATCGACAGGTTATACATGTAAGCATCAAAAGAAGATAGAAAGTAATCAATATATACTTGATATGCAAAACACAAGCTAATTACAACATGCTATAACACTTGCGCTTCAATTACATTAATACAATACTCTATGTCAAATATCAGCTAATATCTCCTTACGGTGCTCTAGCTGTCCGCTCTATGTGTGTGCTGAGAAATAATCTGGTATACTGCCCTGGGCTAGCCGTGCAACGCTGGTCCAACAAATCAGCAACTGGCACTCATGCATGTGCACAGGACAGGGAAAGGAATCTCTGACTCCACTTTTAAAAAGCTAACATTTCAAAATGCCTTGGCGGCAGCGTAGAACCTCTCTCTCTTTGATGCTTTTTTGTCTCTCGTTCCACCAATGCTGGTTTTCATCACGGTGTAGATCACAGTAGAATAAATCCATTGGTCATCATTTCTCTGCGAAAATATATAGCAATATGTAATATGTGAAAAACTGAAATAGGTGAATTGTCCATTTTATGTGTATGTTGATCTTACCTTTGCATTCATTTTTGCAACATAGTCTTGCAGGGACACAACATCTTCAAAAGGAAAAATAATTCGAAAATAGATAAGCATGCACTTGTTTATAAAATAACTGATATTATCATCATGTTATATAAGGTACATTTGGTTACCCTTATTATGGTCACATTCACACTTGCTTTTCTTGATGGCGTGAATAAGGACGGATATAACAATCAGACTTATAGCCGAGATCCCACACAGCAGATATATGTTGTAAGTCTGTAAATTACAGAGGGAATCTGAAGAAAACACGAGAGGAATTTACTTTACAATACCACAAATATTTCCTTACAATCATTCTGGATTTTATTTTACTTTTCATAAACTCGTAAATATGCAGATTTCCTAATAAAATGACACTTACTTGGGTTTCTTATGACTATCTTATGATGTACAGCAAAACATAAATACTGTAACCCTTAGAGAATTGTATTTCCTTTCCTGCCTATTAGTAGGATATGAAGATGCCAAATATAATGTAAAATATTGCCC